TTACCTTATAATATATCACTGTTTGTATGGATTCTTTTGAAGATAAGGAACCTAGTTTAGTGTTGGAAGGAAGACCAAACAAAGATCTTCAAATCTATAAATCATTTCACATTTGTATAACATCGGGGAAAAATAGCGCACCTTATCAGTACAGACAATACTAGGTCATCTCCTTATAAATTAAACATAGGGTTACACAGCAAATTGAAATACACTGTGCACATCATGGAACACCACTGTACACCATGGTACACAACACTGTACACCTATGGTACACAACTCTGTACACCATGGTACACAACTCTGTACACCATGGTACACAACACTGTACACCATGGTACACAACACTGTACACCCATGGTACACAACACTGTACACCCATGGTACACAACACTGTACACCATGGTACACAACACTGTACACCATGGTACACAACACTGTACATCCATGGTACACAACACTGTACACCATGGTACACAACACTGTACACATATGGTATAATACAACACTGTACACCCATGGTAATACACAACACTGTACACCATGGTTCACAACACTGTACACAACACTGTACACCATGGTACACAACACTGTACACCATGGTACACAACTCTGTACACCCATTGGTACACAACACTGTACACCATGGTACACAACACTGTACACCCATGGTACACAACACTGTACATCCATGGTACACAACACTGTACATCCATGGTACACAACACTGTACACCCATGGTACACAACACTGTACATCCATGGTACACAACACTGTACACCCATGGTACACAACACTGTACACCCATGGTACACAACACTGTACACCCATGGTTCACAACACTGTACACCCATGGTACACAACACTGTACACCATGGTACACAACACTGTACACCATGGTACACAACACTGTACACCATGGTACACAACACTGTACACCATGGTACACAAACTCTATACATCATGGTAGACATAACACTGTACACCATGGTACACAACACTGTACACATATGGTATGCACAACACTGTACACTGTACCATGGTACACAACACTGTACACCCATATGGTACACAACACTGTACACCACAACATGGTACACAACACTGTACACCCATGGTACACAATGGTACTGTACACCCATGGTACAACACTGTACACCCATGGTACAAACACTGTACACCCATGGTACACAACACTGTATACCCATGGTACACAACACTGTACACCATGGTACACAACACTGTATGGTACACAACACTATGGTACACAACACTGTACACCACCATGGTACACAACACTGTACACCATGGTACACAACACTGTACACACATGGTACACAACACTGTACACTGTACACATGGTACACAACACTGTACACCCATGGTACACAACACTGTACACACCCATGGTACACCCAACACAACACTGTACACCCATGGTACACAACACTGTACACCCATGGTACACAACACTGTACACCCATGGTACACAACACTGTACACCATGGTACACAACACTGTACACCCATGGTACACAACACTGTACACCCATGGTACACAACACTGTACACCATGGTACACAACACTGTACACACATGGTACAACATTGCACAAACACTGTACACCATGGTACATGGTACACAACACTGTACACCATGGTACACAACACTGCACACTGTACCATGGTACACAACACTGTACACCCATGGTACACAACACTGTACACCCATGGTACACAACACTGTACACCATGGTACACAACAACTGTACACCCATGGTACACCACATGGTACACACTGTACACATGGTACAACACTGTACACCCATGGTACACAACACTGTACACCCATGGTACACAACACTGTACACCCATGGTACATGGTACACAACACTGTACACCCATGGTACACAACACTGTACACCACTGTATGGTACACAACACTGGTACACAACACTGTACACCATGGTACACAACACTGTACACCCATGGTACACAACACTGTACACCCATGGTACACAACACTGTACACCCATGGTACACAACACTGTACACCCATGGTACACAACACTGTACACCCATGGTACATAATAACACTGTACACCCATGGTACACAACACTGTACACCATGGTACACAACACTGTACACCCATGGTACACAACACTGTACACCCATGGTACAACACTGTACACCCATGGTACACAACACTGTACACCATGGTACACAACACTGTACACCCATGGTAACACTGTACAACACATGGTACACCCATGGTACACCCATGGTACAACACTGTACACCCATGGTACACAACACTGTACACCCATGGTACACAACACTGTACACCCATGGTACACAACACTGTACACCCATGGTACACAACACTGTACACCCATGGTACACAACACTGTACACCCATGGTACACAACACTGTACACCCATGGTACACAACACTGTACACCCATGGTACACAACACTGTACACCCATGGTACACAACACTGTACACCCATGGTACACAACACTGTACACCCATGGTACACAACACTGTACACCCATGGTACACAACACTGTACACCATGGTACACAACACTGTACACCCATGGTACACAACACTGTACACCCATGGTACACAACACTGTACACCCATGGTACACAACACTGTACACCCATGGTACACAACACTGTACACCCATGGTACACAACACTGTACACCCATGGTACACAACACTGTACACCCATGGTACATGGTACACAACACTGTACACCCATGGTACACAACACTGTACACCATGGTACACAAACACTGTACACCCATGGTACACAACACTGTACACCCATGGTACACAACACTGTACACCATGGTAACACTGGTACACAACACTGTACACCCATGGTACACAACACTGTACACCATGGTACACAACACTGTACACCCATGGTACAAAACACTGTACACCCATGGTACACAACACTGTACACCATGGTACACAACACTGTACACCCATGGTACACAACACTGTACACCCATGGTACACAACACTGTACACCCATGGTACACAACAATGTACACCATGGTACACAACACTGTACACCCATGGTACACAACACTGTACACCCATGTACACACCCATGGTACACAACACTGTACACCCATGGTACACAACACTGTACACCCATGGTACACAACACTGTACACCCATGGTACACAACACTGTACACCCATGGTACACAACACTGTACACCCATGGTACACAACACTGTACACCCATGGTACACAACACTGTACACCCATGGTACACAACACTGTACACCATGGTACACAACACTGTACACCCATGGTACACAACACTGTACACCATGGTACACAACACTGTACACCCATGGTACACAACACTGTACACCCATGGTACACAACACTGTACACCCATGGTACACAACACTGTACACCCATGGTACACAACACTGTACACCCATGGTACACAACACTGTACACCCATGGTACACAACACTGTACACCATGGTACACAACACTGTACACCCATGGTACACAACACTGTACACCCATGGTACACAACACTGTACACCATGGTACACAACACTGTACACCCATGGTACACAACACTGTACACCCATGGTACACAACACTGTACACCCATGGTACACAACACTGTACACCCATGGTACACAACACTGTACACCCATGGTACACAACACTGTACACCCATGGTACACAACACTGTACACCCATGGTACACAACACTGTACACCCATGGTACACAATGGTGTACACACAACACTGGTACACCATGGTACACAACACTGTACACCATGGTACACAACACTGTACACCCTTGGTACACAGCACTGTACACCATGGTACACGACACTGTACACCCATTTTGTGTACGCTATGTTGTGTACCATGGGTGTACAGTGTTGTGTACCTTGAGATGTTTCTGGTACACAGCCCTGTACACTTCATGGTACACTACTTTCAAACGTTGGTTGTGTTACAGAGATGTATTTCTAAAGTCACGAGCCAGGTCAAAGATTCAATCGTCAGCCATGAAGTTTGAAAATTAGTGATATTTTCTGAAAGTCGGATACAATGTCATATGCAACAATTATTTTCACTACATACGTCATGTCACCCAGTAGTTTTGTTTGTTTGTTGTTCAGCCCAGCATGAAATTATTCTAGGTAGACGATAACAACACATGACCGAATCATTACTCCACCAACCAGTGAGTGATGTTATGAGCACACTCCACGCCGTCGGGACACGATACCACTCAATCACCACCCTGTCCACCGGATCCTAGTGGTATTCTAAGACAAGCACAGGCTGCTTGAGACATTTTCAAATCAGACATTCCCGACAGAGGTCACGGAGGTACTTGCTCAGGTATCAATTACCAGAATACCAAAAACGTCAGTGGGTAATTAAAGTAATCCCCGATATTACCTGGAACTCATTTGGCATTGCGTGTCTCTGATGTCTGTTGATCACATCCGGGTATCATTGTCTCATTAACTATGATGGTGTCAACCAGTATGTCTCGTTGGCATCAGTGTTGAGAGACGTGTGCATTACCGACGGCCACGTCCTCGACTGGTTCTCTGAGGATTACGAAAGCCTTATGCTGCTACTTTTGTAGCATAAAAATAAACGAGAAAATAATTGAAATAACGAGAAAATACATCCAAGCACCGAGAAATGTTGCTGAAAATATATGATGCTAAAAAGTGGCTGCATAAGACTTTCGTAAAAGATTGGTATTTTTATATTCCCATTTCTTTTTGTTGATTTCCAGATATCTAGAGGCGGTGGTTAAAGAAGAATCACCTTTAACGAGGACATTGTTACACACGTGACATGTGTAAGTCGGGAGACACGTGCACATTTCACTTTTCACTTTCAAGATCTGTCAAGATTCTTATTTAAAGAAAATAGTGTTTTGATGTCACATATCAAGTGATGAAATAAGGACAAAACAGAATAAAAATGCATAGTTTATTGTTAAAATACAACTGAAAACATTCCGTGACATTTACATTTAATGGGTCTCTCGGATTAACATTTCTCAAACGCCTGGATGCTGTTGTCGAACTGAGACCACACCGTCTTATTCTGCAGACACACGGTCCCCCCTCCTCGCTTCAGCTGATGGAGCTGAAACACAAGGAAGGGTCAGTTTCCTCGCAACAGGTCATGTAAGGTCGTCGGACCTCACTGTCATCAACATTAATAGAAATGTCAAAACACTCCCCATGAAAATAGGAAATTCCATAAAATAAATATATGAATTACTGAATGGATGAATTAATGGATGGGTGGGAGTGTTGATGTATGAATGAATGAATGAATGGGTGGGTATTTGGTTGTTTATGGATGAATGGATGGATGAATGAAACTGTTTTTATGAACTGACTTTCGGATAGAGGATGTTAAAGGAGAGTTATACTCTATGCCTTTAGTCCTCTTCTAGGATTGATTTCGACATTGTAATTAGCACCTTCCTGATTATTATGACGTCAGATAAAACGGGCCGTCCACCAAACCACGAGGACGATAGTTGGAAGGATTTCAGTCCAACTGTTGCAGAGTTTTGCTCTATGTGAAAATATCGTGCAAGACACTGTTCAATGTCTCTGTCTGATTTTGCATGTTGACATCAAGCCTACCCACCTGTCTGTTGATATCCCCAATGCACACCCAGGTTCCTGTCATAGAGACAGCCCACTTGGAGTGGTCTTTGGTCTCTTTGAAGTGGATCCCACCTGGCAGAGAAATAGCCTGCACATTGTACACCTGAAATATAACAAATACCACAGGGACGTTGAACGAATGTTTTCACCATTACATACATTGAAAGTGACAACTATTTATTTTAAATTTTGTTTAAAACTGTTTCTTGAATGACCAACCACTCGTTACAAACGTGCCATTATTTCAAGCCAGTGTGGGGCGGTGGGGTAGCCTAGTGGTTAAAGCGTTCGCTCGTCACGCCGAAGACCCGCTTTCGAATCCTCATAAAAATTATATGAGTACAATGTGTGAAGCACATTTCAGGTGCACCCGCCGTGATATTGCTGGAATATTGCTAAAGGCGGCGTAAAAACTTAACTCACTCACTCATGCCACTGTGGTATGAAATCACATGAGAAGCAATGTCGACGGAAGAAAGAGAACTGGCTAGCTATTTACGAAACGTTCGTAGCTCTACGATCTTCATAAGTCCATTCTTAACACATTGGCTACGATCAAAGTTAAGAATTCTTAGGGCTACGAACGTTTCGAGAATAAGGTCCCTGGAACTGAGAGCAAAGCTATCACTAAGTCATGATAATTGATCAAACTAGAATAACCCGTGAACCGCTCTGTAGGAAAAACACGCGGCATGTATCGAGTATTTGCGAGTGAGATAAGTAGAAGCATGTCGACTAACTGAAAATACGGCCGAACTATGACCTTGACCTTCACCTTGTAGCTGCTGCTGCAGTTGGACCTCATCTTCCCTCGCCCATCCTGCCACGTCTCGGTCTTCAGGTCACTCTGCAGCACCGGCGCAACAAACCCTGAATACAGGTCTGAAATAAAGAATTAAATTGCACATTACAGCTATATTCAAGCTCTTCCTCTATCAAGATGCTGGAATATTGCTCGACATGAAGGAGTGAATGAGTATGGTTTTCGGCGCTTTTAGCAATATTCCAGCAATATCACGGCGGGGAACACCAGAAATGGGCTTCACGCATTGTACCCATGTGGGGAATCGAACCCGGGTCTTCGGTGTGACGCGCGAACGCTTTAACCACTAGGCTACCCCACCGCCCCTCGACATGAAGGAAGATTTGATACAGCTTGAGAGTTTAACTCCTCCCATTTGTCATACAGCCTATACATGCTTTTGTGTCACATTGAAACTCTTTGCATAAATCATGAATATATAACAGATGAGTCAGTCATCTGAAATACTAATACTATATAATAAATGAAGCTAAAGTTAAATTTACTGGCCAATTACCATTTTTGTATTTTGACAAAAAATACGATTCATATGCTGAAAGAACCTTCTGAAGAAGGGGAGCACAATTGGTGGCCTTGGGCAACTTCCTGTCAAAATGTCTAATCCCCAAATTTCGTAGGTCGTATTTAAGGAAGGCCATCGTTTCATATACGGTTATCTCAGTGGATAGCATTTGCTTTCTTTTTTGACAAAGTGTCGCAAACCGTTGACGAAAGAGACGAACATTGGACGTTTAGGAGCATGGCTCAATGTATGAAGCATTTCTTTACGTTTCTAATGTGGAATGGATGTGTACAGAGTTGAAAAGTGTTGAACAGAATTGAACATGGTTCTTGTCTGATGTTGCAAAACTTCAAGCAAGTCCTTTGAATGTTGACATGGAACTAATTCCACTTGTCTCAAACACTTTTTGCGAATATATAGACCCCCCTTCCTTGATAGTATTAACGATTATGGTTAAATCTTTTGGAAGGACATGGTCTTGGATATTGTACCCTTGATCAAGCAAATGTTGGACAACTATTTGTAGTCTTTTGAGGAAAGTGAATCTGTGAGATACATAAACCAGTAAAATGCGTGACACCAGACATTGGCTTCACACATTGTACCCGTGTGGGGAATCGAACCCAGTTTTCGGCGTGACGAGCGAACGCTTTAACCACTAAGCTACCCCACCGTCCTTAAACCAGTAAAAAACACAGAGTGTAAACATATATCCCCGACTTCCTGAAATACTCCACAGCATTGCCCTGAATGTTTTGTCTGGGTAGTGAGTGAACACTCATGTACAGTAGTTATCTACCGTCGTTGAAGGCTGCTGTCTTGGCAAAGCTGAGGAAGGCTGTTCCCTGACTCGACGTCAGCTGACGTTTACTGGCGGTAGCTCCTTCTGGACGCTTGTGGTCAATTACTGCTGCTAGGCTGGGATTGTCCGACAGGAAGGACGCTGGGGCCATGTGGTCGTACACTTGTACGTAGTTGTACACGATCTGGGAAGCTGACAAAAACAACAACATACAACTAAGCTGAGAGTTGTACACCTTGGAATAAGTGTCCTTCAGCAGAATTAAAGCCATTTTACATGACGTTTTAACAAGAACCATCATTAAACACTGCGGTCAAAGAGGAAACAAAACTCGGATGTTCAACATGACGAATGCTTTACCCAACTGCCTACCTCAAGAATATTACTATACTGAAATGCTCCCGTGTATTGCGAGTCTTGTGGAGCTATCAATAAGGAAAATGGGAAAAATGTCCAACCACAGCATTAGGGAACGTAGTTTAAAACATAACCCTATCGACTGACTGACTGAGTTTGGGTTTTACGCCACTTTTAGCAATATTCCAGCAACATCACGGCGGGGGACACCAGAAATGGGCTTCACACATTGTACCCATGTGGGGATTCGAACCCGGGTCTTCGGCGTGACGAGCCAACGCTTTAACCACTAGGCTACCCCACCACCCCTTAACCCTATCGAAGATGGAGTTGAATGTAATGATTGTGATTAATAATGGCGTATGAAAGAATGTTAAGGTTTGCATTTAGTCAGAGTTTAGTCAGTTCTGTACATCATGGGAGAATCAAGTTTCAACGTAAAGTCGTGAAGGAGAGATGGATGCTTGTTCCAGTGTGTTTTGGTAACTACCGCTAGGTAACATCTCAAGTTACCAATGTCGTTCCATATGGGTGCTATTTTACTGACGGAGTCAAAAGCTCAGAGAGGGATGTTTCCAAGTCCAGTCAATCTTGCATGAGGAATATATAAGGTGCAATAATAGCAATAATACTATTAGATAAATTACTTACCGATGGTTTTTAGCTGTGAATACTTGTAGGAAACACAGAGAAAACTTTGCCCGTTGTAGTTACCGGAGGGAGGAAAGTTGTATCCATCTTCGCGGTTAGGTGGGAATCGAGGGGTGCTATGGACAAGCCAAAACCCTTCCTCTTTGTCAAACGCAAACACACCTGCAACAGACCCCAATTATTCTGATGAATCAGAAATATACTGAAGAAAACAAATAACACCTCTCCATCGCAGTGTTCTATATATTTTCCCAGACTTTCACCCACAATGCAACACAAACCTTGCGAAAAAAACTGGAAAAGAATAAAGGAACTTTCATGTGTTCCCTTATTTATTTCCCTCAGTATAGATACATTTTCCAGCAAGGATACCCCAAGAGTTGCCCCCTACTGTTAGTATTACGGAGAGGCATGCTGTCTCCAGTGGTCTGGTTTTATTACGTTCTTGATGATGGCGTATCAGCGTATCCTGATCAGTTTGATCGTTGCTCATAATATTAATCATTGGTAACTCCAGCGTTACATAATTACACAAAGGTCGATTGGTTGGTTGGTTGGGTTGTTGTTTAAGCCGCACTCAGCAATATTCCAGCTATATGGCGGCGGTCTGTAAAAAATCAAGTCTGGACCAGACAATCTAGTGATCAACATCATGAGCATCGATCTACGCAATTGGGATAAGATGTCAGGTTTCAGCCATGTGAGCTTGGCTGATCACCCGATCCCGTTAGTCGCCTTTTAGGACAAGGGTTGCTGAAGACCAATTCTAACCCGGATCATCACGGGTATGCAAAAGTTGGAATGTACAGAAATGAAAAAATACACCATAGTCATACAGTCCCATATTAGTTTGGTCCAGTGACGGTGGGTGCTTTACTACTGAGACCGTTTCAGACAGCGGCTATTTTACGGATTACGTCCTATTTCACAGTTTTAAATACCTTTTGAATGGCCGTCGCTTTCCGGTTCTTTTCCACTTGGAGTGTGGTCATTATACATGACATAGGCCAAGTCATCAGTCTGTAAAGATACATAAGGGTTTTCCAATGTTACCAGCTTACAGTGAACCTTTAATCTCGAGACACCAACACCAAGTTTGATTCAAACGTTGCCACAAGCTGCAACCGTTGCCACAAGCTGTAACCGTAGCCACAAACTGCATGGGAAGTCTGTCTTCCACACGCACTAGGCTGTTGTGTTTGGGCGTTTGAATCAAACATGGTGCTGGTGTGTTTCAGCACCTTTGTGTTTCGCTGTTTTTGACAATGTTTCATTTCACTCAACCTCAACGAATATTAAATCAGTTTGCTTCACTGCATATTCCAACATGTCGATTAAAGTGCCCATTAAGCACAAAAAAGGTTGCATTTACCTCAGAGCATAAATGACCTCACCACGTTTAAGTTTATATATGACTATCAAATTTTATGGTGTTCATATACTTTTTGTTTGTAGTAAATATAAAAGAGTTATAACGACAGGAGTTAGCCTCCTACGAGTGAGTGAGTATGGTTTTACGCCGCTTTTAGCAATATATCCAGCGATATCACGGCGGGGGACACCAGAAATGGGCTTCACACATTGTACCCATGTGGGGAATCGAACCCAGGTCTTCGGCGTGACGAGCGAACGCTTTAACCACTGAGCTCCCCACCGCCCCGTGCCTCTCACGGATTATTATCTATATTTGTATGAAGTTTAGTCGACTACTATGCAATGCACGTTTCGCTATTGCGAGATGATGTGTGGTCTGGTGCATGGCGCCTTTTTCACAAATCAGGTGAACTTAAGCAACGTGGGCGCGAAGATTTCTTGGATGGGTGACCGTGTTTGGTAGCTTCACTCCTGAGAGTTTCTGCTGAGACTTCTGTCCTGCCCCACGACGAAGCACATGTAACACATGTGATCTCATCCTAGGCAAGTGAGTTTGTCCATAAATTGCCTGTTCACCCAGCAGTGTATGGGTACCCGATGGAATGACAGGCCCTCGTGTCTTTGCAAAGATTAAAGATTTTTAAAAAATATACAAAAAAATTGAGATGACCCCCGACTCGAAATGCTTCACAGTACCATACATTATGATGTATTGTAATGTGAAGCATTTTGAGTCGGGGGTCATATCAAAACCAATATGTCTTTAATTATTAATTCTCGCAAAGACACGAGGGCCTGTGGGTGGGATAAGTCATATGACTGGTAACCTTCTAGCACCTCACAGGCAGCTGGTTATCCGGGGTAATAATGTGTTTAGCACTTTTAGCATGTACAACTGCGTGAAAACAGGCGTGTCATAAATAACCATTATTTATCTGAAGTAATTGTTTTTAAATTATAAGAGAGTCTGATATTATTGGAATTCTATGGATTGAAAGGACGCATGCTTTCGATAAATATTTTGAAAAACTCACAGTTTTGGCCTGATATATTGCCTGGAGGGTGTTGTAGACAGCATGGTTCGTTGCCGTCATGTGGACGTTAGAAAACGTCCACGTCGGGTTATTGACGTCCATGTAGAAGTGCCCCGAGTCATGAACAGCCCTGGCTTGACCAACAGAGTCACCGTCAGAGTGACCATCGGAGTGATTCTGGTTTCCATGGAGAGATGGCAGCTTGTAGACAATGAACCTGTGGGTGAAGCAGATTTAGAGCAACTATTGCATTGACTGAAATCCGGGTTAGAATTGGTCTTCACTAACCCATCCTTGTCGTAAGAGGTGACTAACGGGATCGGGTAGTCAGGCTCGCTGACTTTGTTGACACATGTCATCGTATCCCAATTGCGTAGATCAATGCTCATGTTGTTGATCACTGGATTTTCGTACTCGATTATTTACAGACCGCCCCCATACAGCTGGAATATTGCTGAATATACAACCAACCAACAGTGACAACACAGTTCAATAATGGCGGCACGGCGTACCTTGCGTTTTGTTTCTTTTTTAAAGACCCGTGAAGATCCGGGGTAGAATAGGTCTTCAGCAACCCATGTGCTTGCCATAAAAGGCGACTATGCTTGTCGTAAGAGGCGACTAACGGGATCGGGTGGTCAGTTTCGCTGACTTGGTTGACACATGTCATCGGTTCCCAATTGCGCAGATCGATGCTCATGCTGTTGATCACTGGATTTTCTGGTCCAGACTCGACTATTTACAGACCGCCGCCATATAGCTGGGATATTGCTGAGTGCGGCGTAAAACTAAACTCACTCACTCACTCACTTTTTTAAAGTTAATGTCGCGTCTACAAAAGTATAACCCGGATTCGAACCTGGATCTTATCAGTGAACTGCGTGGCCTTAATCTACTGGACTACCAATGACCCAGGCAACCCAGGAAAACCTAGCGTTTTGTGACCGTATGCCGCTGAGGGTCAATATTAATAACTTCTGACTCTATCTACTCCGCTTAATGATGAACCATACAATGGGAAATCCGGACACGTGGCCTTATCACAAATCCACGTTGTTAGTAAGAATTAGTGAACAATTCATGGCCTAAACAGGTAAACGAAACGTATCAATAATGACTATTCCCCTTATCGCTATTGAGTGAATGAGTTTAATTTTAAGCTGCTTTTAGCAATATTCAAGCAATATCACGGCGGGAGAGAGATATGATAAAAGTAAAAATACCCTCAACAAGCCTCGGATATTTGTAACTTTATCAACTCGTGGTGATATATTTGATATTAAAAGACACTCTGGTGAGATTCTCTATGTATCATGCATCGAGAGAGAGGGAGAGATTTGGAAAAAGCGTCGCTGAGACGGCCCGAAGGTGATGTCATAAACTTCCTTGTCATGCATGTATTATGGGAAACCGGTCGACCTGAAGCCATAGTCTACGTAGCCATAGCCGAGGCTCATGTCAGCCTTTGTCAACACCACGGGATATACTCCTACACAATGTTGACCTGCAGATATAACAAACACATGACAACTGTCCGTAAAGTTCGTTATATTAACATTCTGTCCGTAAAGTTCGTTATAACATTCATGTTATATATCATGCAATATGGTTGCTAGGAGACGCCCCCTTTATAACACCATGTTATATAGTTAACCAAAAACTCACCAGTCAACCGGGCGACCCTTCCCTGACATACACTGAACACCATTCGCGACAGGCACAAGGGACGCAGCAAGGACGAGCCACAACATTTGGAGTTACCTTGTTGTCACTAGTTCGCCGCTGGACTGGTCATAACCTAAATATTTTCCTGGCTACGATCGACAGGATATATTACAGGGAAGTTAAATGTTCTATTAAACATCACGTGGTTGTGATTCACCCTTTGTGTGGCGGTCACGGCTGGGGGAGTATCTCAAACAAATCGAAAGTAGAGATTTTATGTGTTACTTCCCAGTTTGTATCATGTATACTAAGCAGCTCTCTCTCTCTCTGTCTGTCTCTCTCTTTCTCTCTTTCTCTTTTCTTTCTCTCTCTCTCTCTCTCTCTCTCTCTCTCTCTCTCTCTCTCTCTGGGGTACCGCCAGGTTGTATGCTACTGTTATACTGGTTTTGTTCCTTACATGTGTGGTATTGTTGTTGTATGAAGTTGTGTCTGTTTGGAAAGTGCGGAAGGGTGTTACCCAGCTTACATATATCGGTGTCGGTACCGACTGATGCAAGAGGGCACACACATCGAACGCTCACTGCACGCACGCACGCACATGCGTCGAGGGAACGTTGGGGGTGGCCCTAAGGGTTAAAGCGTTCGCTCGTCCGCCGAGATCTCCTCTCCTCTCCTCCTCTCCTCCTCTCTCTCTCTCCCCTCTCTCCTGCCTCTCTCTCCTCCTCTCTCCTCCTCTACTGTCTCCTCCCCTCTCTATCTCATATAACCGAGGTGTCTATATCTCACAATGTTTATATAAATACAAACTTGTTCTCGTCACTATATGTAGGCTGGAATATGTGTATTAAGTAAAATAATGTGTGTGAAAATAAAATATGTGTGTTAATAAAATAATAATGTGGTGTAGTAAATGGAGTGTGTGAAGTAAATATGTGTGTGATGATAGTAAAAATAATGTGTGTGAAGTAAAATGTGTGTGTATAAAATAATAATGTGTAAAGTAAAATAGTATGTGTAAGTAAAATGTGTGATTGTAAGTAAAAATAATGTGTGTGTAAATATGTATTAAGTAAATGTGTATTAATAGTGTGGTAGTAAAATGTGTGTGTGAAGTAAAATGTGTGTGTGTAAATGTGTGTAAAAATGTGTGTGTAAAAATGTGTAAGTAAATGTGTGTGTGTAGTAAAATAAATGTGTGTTAATAATGTAGAGTAAAAATAATGTAAAATATGTGTGATTAGTGTAAAATGTGTGTGATAATGTGTGTGAAGTAAAATAATGTGTGTTAGTAGTATAATGTATTAATGTGTGTGTGTGATTATTAGTAAAAAATAATATGTGAAGTAAAATATGATGTGTGTGAAGTAAAATATGTAGAAATTAAGTAAAATGTGTGTGTGTGTGAAGTAAAAATGTGTGTGTTAAAAAATATGTGTGTTAAATAAATATTAATGTGTGATGTGTAAAGTAATAAAAAATATAAAAATAATGTGTGTGTAAGTAAATAATGTGTGAATAAGTAAAATGTGTGTGTTATTAGTAAAATGTGTGTGTGTGTAAAATAAAATGTGTAAATAGTAAAATGTAAATATGTGTGATTATTGAAATGTCAAATTAATGTGTGTGTGTGTAAAATATTAATGTGTGTGTTAAATAAAATATGTATGTGTGGTAAAATATGTGTGAATAAATAAAATGTGTGTGTGTGTAAAATAAATATGTGTAATAAGTGTGTGTGTGTAAAATAAAATGTAATGTGTAAAATATGTGTGTGAAGTAAAATGTGTGTGATGTGGTAAAATAAGTGATAATGTGTGATGTGTGTAAGTAAAATAATGTGTGTGAGTAAAAGTGGAAGTATGTGTGTGATTAAAAATAATGTGTGTGTGTGTAAAATATGTGTGAATAAAATAATGTAAGTAAGTAAATATGTGTGAATTAAGTAAAAAAATAATGTGTGATTATTAAGTATGTAATGTGTAAGTAGTAAATATAATGTGTGTGTGTAAGTAAAATATAATGTGTGTTAAATAAATAGTAAAAAATGTGTAAATGTGATGTGTGTGTAATAAAAATGTGTGTAAGTAAAAATGTGTGTGTGAAATAAAATAGATTAATGTGATATATTAAAAATGTGTGTAAAATGTAAAAATGTAATATGTGTAATGTGTAGTAAAAATATGTGTGTAAGTAAAAAATGTGTGTGTAAAATGTATGTAAATGTGTGTAAATGTGTGTAAAAATAAAGATAATGTGATAAAAAGTAAAATATGTGTGTGAAGTAAAATATGTGTGTGTGTAAAAATAATGTGTGTAAGTAAAATATGTGTGATTATTAGTAAAAATATGTGTGTGTAAAATAATGTAAAAATAATGTGATGTGAAGTAAAATAATGTGTATGTAAAATGTGTGTTATTAAAATGTGTAAAAATGTGTGTGGTAAGTAAAATGTGTGTGTAAAATAATGTAATGTGTTAAAATTAAAAATATGTGTGTGATAAAGTAAAAATGTGGTTATGTGTATTAAATAAAAATATGTGTGTATTAAGTAGTAAATATGTGTGTGTGTAAAATGTATTGTAAAGTAAAATATGTAAAATGTATTAATGAAGTAAAAATATTAAAATGTAAATATGATAAAATGTGATGTGTGAGTAAAATATGTGTGTGTATATGGAAGTAAATAATGTGTTAATATGTAAAATGTAAAATGTAATGTGTAATTATTAAGTAAAATATGTGTGTGGAATAAATGTGTGTGTGTGTGTAAAATATGTGTGTGTAATAAAATGTGTGTGTGTGTAATAAATAATGTGATGTATTATTGATAAAAATAATGTGTAAAAGTAATATGTATGTGGTATGTAAAATATAATGTGTGTTAATAGTAAATAATGTGTAAGTAAAAAATATTAATGTGTAAGTAAAAATAATAAATATGATGTGTAGTAAATGTGTGTGTAAGTAAAAATATGTGTATTAAGTAAAAAATATGTAAAATGTGTGTGTAAAATATGTGTGAATATAAAAATAAAATGTGTGAGTAAAAAATATGTGTGTAAAAGTAAAATATAAAAATAATAATATGCATGTGTAATAAGTAATGTAAAATAATATGTAAAAGTAAATAATGATGTGTAAATAAATAATGTGTTATTAAGTAAAAAATAAATAATATGTAAGTAAAATATGTGTGTGTGTGTAAAAAATATAATATGTGGGTAAAAATGTGTGATGTGTAAATAAAATAATGTAAAAATAATAATGTTAATGTGTGTGTAAAAAAATATGTGTGATAATAAAAAAATGTGTGTAAAAAATGTATGTGCAATAAGTAAAATAATAATGTGTGAATGTAAAATAATGTAGTAATAGTAATATGTAAATAATGTGTGTAAAAATGTGTGTAATAAAAAATAAATGTGTAAGTAAATGTGTGTGATGAAATGTGTGTGTGTAAAAATAATGTGTGATAGTAATAAAATAGTGTAGTGTGTAATAAGTAAAATAATAATGTAAAATAATATGTGTGTAAAAATAATAATAAATGTAAAATATGATGTGTATATGTGTAAAAAAAATAATGTGTGTAAAATAAAAAAATAATGTGTGTAAGTAAAAAATGTGTGTGTAATATAATATGTAAAAATATTAATGTGTAAATGTACTAATGTGTGTAAAAAAATGTGTGAAAATGTATTAGTAAAATAAAAATGTATGTGTGAAATGTATATAATGTAAGTAATAAATATGTGTGTGTGTGTAAATAAAATATTGATTAAATAAAAATATGTGTAAAATAAAAAATGTGTAAGTAAATAATGTGTATTAAAAATAATGTGTGTGTAAGTAAAATATGTGTTAAGTTATGTGTAAAAATAATGTGTAAGTAAAATATGTAAAGTAAAAATATGTGTGTAATAAATAAATATTAATAGTAATGTAATTAGTAAAAATGATGTTAATGTGTAAGTAAAAATATGCATGTAATGTATATGTAAAAAATGTGTGTAAAGTAAATAATATTAGTAAAAATAATGTGTTGTGTATAAATTAGTAAATATGTGTAAGTAAAAAATGGTATAATATGTATTAAAAATATGTGTATTAGTAAATAATGTGTGTGAAATAGTAAATAATGTGTGTATTAAATAAATGTGTGTGTTATAAATGCTGATGTGTAAGTAAAATAATGTGTGTGTGTAAATACCACTTGCATAGATCTATGCTCATGCTGTTGATCACTGGATTGTCTGGTCCCGACTCGATTATTTACAGACAGCCGCCATATTGCTGGAATATTGCCGAGTGCGGCGCAAAACTACACTCACTCACTCCCTCACACACAGACACACACGAACTCACTCACACACTAACACACACCATGCCCCTTCCCCCAAAATAAAATAACAAAGTCAACCCTCCAAACGGCGTGCTACCTGCTCCTCCATACACACCATCCCAACCCGACACTGATCCCTCCTCCCGTCGGCAGACATTCAGATCGACGCACTCCCGTTCAAAGCTTCTCACCCAGACATACATCACTCTCTCAAGCAGTTACAATATCACAAACGCCCTTATTCGCTGCAGTCATGACTCGCACAACCCTGGCCCAGTTAAGATCAACATTCTACACTCCTCAAATTATAGGGAATTCATTCAACGACTTCACTCGGAGCAGTAAGAATCTGACGGCCTTGCTCTAATGCCCCGCTGGAGGGTAGCGACGCAGACTGACACTCGGTTCATTCTTTGTCATTAGCAAGTCTAGACAAGCCGACCACGAGGAACAAAATATGTTCCAATTTCATCTACATGATGATTTTGATGATGAATGTTGTTATTATTATTATGAACTCATCTTTCATTAAATAATATTTTCGTTGACTGATGCTTAAGCTAATAACCGGGACACAATAAGTTGATTTTTTAAAAATAAAGCCTACTTTTCTATTGCTTTAAATATTAACTTTCATTTTCCTCATATATGAATTGTTTCATTAACATTGCCAAAACGCTTAAACGTTAATTGGGACAAAATACTTTTGTCAGTTTCTTAACATACATATTTTATTGTAAAAGAAAAGTGTTCATAGATAGGTAACGCAACCGACTAAATTGTTATAACAAATAATAGTAATAATAATCCGGGCCGAATTAAACAAACCTTTGGTCTACCCACCTACCCAGTCCACCCGTGAAGATCCGTGTTAGAATTGGTCTTCAGTAGCCCATGCTTGAGCGATTGGGTGGTCAGGCTCACCCACTTGCGTACATCGATGTTCATGTTGTTGATCACTGGATTATCTGACTCGATTACAGACCGCACCCATATAGTCGGAATATTGGGAGTGCGACGTAAAACTAAACTAAACTCACTCACTCACTCACTCACTCACTCACTCACTCACTCACTCACTCACTCACTCACTCACTCACTCACCCACCAACCAACCCACCCACCCATCCACTCACTCACTCACTCACTCACTCACTCACTCACTCACTCACTCACTGTCCGTCCGGTCAAGCTCAGCAGTTGTTGATCCGACTCTGAAAAAAGCTGTCGGAAATGAAAACCAACTAAACTAAACTCACTAACTAAACTAAACTAAACTCACTAACTAAACTAAACTCACTCACTCACTCACTCACTCACTCACTCACTCACTCACTCACTCACTCACTCACTCACTCACTCACTCACTCACCCACCCACCCACCCACCCACTCACTCACTCACTCACTCACTCACTGTCCGTCCGGTCAAGCTCAGCAGTTGTTGATCCGACTCTGAAAAAAGCTGTCGGAAATGAAAACCAAGTTCCTCCGTCATTTGTAATTTCATTTTGAGTGCTAGCCGTTTTGCTGGCACCGTTCTGGGTTATGGACCTTCAAAAGAATGGGCGGAAGATTTGTGACTGTTACACTACATTTCAAAAGTAACTTCCCCTTCTTCCCTGAACATGTCGGCGAGATTCGGGGTAGTGGTGTAGCCTAATGGTTCACGCCGAAGACCCGGGTTCGATTCCCTGCACGGGTACAATGTGTGAAGCTCATTTCTGATATCCCATGCCGTGATATTGCCGGAGTATTGCTAAATGCGGCGTCAAACTCGCGCATTCGCTCGTACGATAATCGAGTCCATTTTGAAGCATTCAGATTATTGTGAAATTTTCACGATTCTTACAATTTTTGCAATAATATTGCAAAGAACTGAGGTACCTGCACACTACAGTTGTGCAGCTTTTAGAAAAAGACACACGGCGTTTTGGCCTTATTTTTAAGGGATCTAAGCTATCTTTTAGTCTCTATGCATTTTCTATTGAATTGCAGCAACATCGCGATGATTCGCTACACATTGTAATTATTCGAGACACAGGTAAGTAGTTTTTGTAAAGTACTGTAGTCTGGTTCCTAAGTAACTAATCAGAGGAAAACACAGCGGGATTGTTCCATCTCTTCGCCTTTGGTCGTTAAACACGACTTGCTAACAGCCCTAATGGATCCTTAACAAGTCGTTATCATCAGTGATACATACGCAGTTATGTTTAGAACTGTTGGGTATGATTGCATGTGATCTTGGTATTAGGCACGGAGAGTACACTCCGTACACAGAGGAGGATGTGGAGCTTTCTTTTGGCAATATTACCTCCTGGGATTTCTGCTTGCCGTTAGCGATTCTAGATGGGGATATCGTAAATAAAAAAGTTGTTTTATAATGAAAGGAAAAACTGGTTAGAGCAAGGTTTGCCAAACCTTGGTCGGTTGTCTTAACAGTTGTTTGGGTGATTTCATAGCTTCATTTCCTCTTCCGTTTAAGTACCGTTACAGCCATCAAATGATAGCAATAATAAGGATAAGAATAAGCACTAAACTCATCTCTACTTTATGACATTTGTGAATCTAGAAAGCACAAAAATAATGATTTAATTAAGAATAATTTAGAATAAATTCTAACAAGGATGCTGGTGGTGGTGATGACGATGATGATATAATGATGATGATGGTGATGATGATGATGATGATGATGATGATGATGTAGATGATGATGATGATGATGATGATGATGATGATGATGATGATGATGATGATGATGATGATGATGATGATGTAGATGATGATGTAGATGATGACGATGATGCTAAACATTTGTTTTTGGCGTCGTATTCTCACAAAACACGACTAAAGAAATCTCAATGAGGTGAAGCGAGTTTATTTAAGAACAGAAATCTGAAAAATACATGACAATATTACTGACAAAAGTAAAAGGAGACGTGTAAATGTTCGGGATTAGTCCTAATGATTAACCAAATTAATCATTTTATTCTTCAAAGAAACGACCAGCAGTAATTCATACTAACATTTTGTTCTTAATGTATTAAGGTGAGGTAAGGTGAAATTGGGTTTAACGTCGTGCTTGAGAATATTTCGCTCATATGACGACGTGCATGCGTGTGTATGTGTATGTGCGGCTGCTTGTACTAGCCCAGACTGAAGCTGGTTTATAGTGCTAGCCCACTGAGATACCATGCCGTAGTGAAGCATGAATACCCCACTCAGACACATTATACTGACTCCGAGCCGACCAGTCCTTGTTGTGCCCATTAATGCCGAGCGCCAGACAGGGACCAACAAGTACCATATTTTAACGTCTTTTGGTATGACGCGGTCGGGGGCGGACGCTCCAACCACTACACCACGTAGTGTATTCAGGCTTTAAAGATAACTAAATATTCATCTTCCTTGTGGATATGACCGCCGGTGGATAATTGTGAATGAAAAGAACAGTTATTTGACCTTTATATTCAGGAGGACATTCTCATTCAACCCCGTGCCTGTGGGCGGTCATAACCTGTTACTAATCTGTTAAACTGGTAATGGTTTCTGACGTACACAGCCGTCAATGCAATTATTAAACAATTCACACATAATTGTTAGCTTGGGCACGGAGCAAGTTTAATACCAGGTCATCATTATCGTGGATGGATGCAACAACATCCCCCTCCCTTACTCCTCCCCCGCCGACTGTGACATCATCACGCTCTGCATCAACAGGGACCACGAGTCAGCTGGAGGTGGTGGAGCCAAAGCTTCTTACTACTCTACGTCAGCACACGGCATGACTCTCCAACCAGCATCAGCATCCAACAAGGTGGCATGTGCGATACATCCTCATCTTCAATTACCCTCCTAACAACGTGGACCAAGCTGCCAAAATGTTGCCCGGTGGAAGTACAGACGTTGACACAAGTCTTCTGAAGAATTTCAGAGTCAAAATGTCAATAGATTTCCTCCGAAACCTCACTGCTTACAACAACTCTGGAGTCTATATTTTCAATGACAATGAAGAAGAGCCAATGGTGTTTACACCCGAGACGAGAATCGTTCCGGCGTTGTTTCTTATTATTTTTGTTGTGGGACTTATTGGGAATAGTCTGCTTGTGTACATCGTCGTTCGCCACGCCGCCATGCGCACCGTCACTAACCTGTACCTAGTGAACTTGTCTGTTGTGGATATATTGTTTCTGGTGGCATGCGTACCTCTTACCTCAGTTGCCTATGGAATTACCGACTGGCCATTTGGCGACGGTTTATGTAAGTACTGTCTATGCTTTTATTTTATTTCTTAATTATATTTTTTTTACTTATGGTAAAATGGTAAACCACGCCAATATCAACAAATAAACAGCGATACATTTGTCATGTTACAAAGAGCTTTCAAAGGCGTGGACCCGTAAAGGTCCAGGTTAAAATTGGTCTTAAGCAACCTATGCTTGTCTCCCCGTGAAGATCTGGGTTAGAATTGGTCTTCAGTAACCCATGCTTATGGTACCCATAAAGATCTAGGTTAGCATATCTTCAGCAACCCACGCTTGTCGTAAAAGGCGGCTAACGGGATCGGGTGCTCAGGCTAGCCAACTTGCTTGACACATGTCATCGGTTCCCATTTGCGTATATCGATGCTCATGATGTTGATCACTGGATTGTTTGGTCCAGGCTCGATTATTTACAGACTGCTGCCACATAGCGGGAATTTTGCTGAGTGCGCACGGCGTTCCACAGCAAACAAACAAACAAAACAAAACAAAACAAAACAAAACAAAACCATTGGGTCATGAACCTGATATCCATTAATCTATCCATATGTGTTTTTTTTCCTAATTTCAAAACTCAACGAACAAGAGAAGGGCTGGCGATTTCTTTTTCATGAAGACTTAAACAAATGTCTTTAATTTGTTGCAAGTTATTATTATAACCATTTTAATGTTTTAAACTCTTAGCACCAGTCCTATTATGACTTTAAGAGGTAGATCTAGTCGTTTTGATTTCCTATGGAATTTAAATAATTATATTGAAATTCACATATAAACAAATAAATATACGTGAAGAGAGATTCGGCTGACCTATATCAGAGAAAGGAGTATTTTTATATAACATTGGGAAATACATTTAAGAAGTGGCTGGGTAAATTGAAAAAGGAACACATTATAAGTCGATTGGGATATATGGTAAGTCAGAGAAAAAATATAGCCTTAAATGAACGATTGAGATTTGTCTAACTCCGCCATAGACGTGAACCAGATTGTAAAACATGTCGGCACAGGTTGGTGCCGAGTAATATAAACATTAGGGCGAATTTTGGGTTCGAACCCACGTTACTAGGAGTTTGGTATGCCAAAGGGAGGTAACCCTATACAGGGACTTACTGAGACGTAGGGATTCGCTTTCTAAGAGTGCTTTAAATAACGTTCCTCGAGATACCCGTTTACAGTTAGTTGTACGCCACTTGCTGGTACAATTTGGTAACTGGAAACCAATAAACACCTCGGAATTGGGCTATGATTACATGGGTGGTGGGGTATCCCAGTGGTTAAAGCGTTCCCTCGTCACGCTGAAGGCCCAGGTTCGTTTCCATGGGTACAATGTGTGAAGTCTATTTCTGGTGTCACCCGCTGTGATGTTGCTGGGATATTGCTAAAAGCGGCGTAAAACCAAACTCACTCACTCATCATAACTACACGTGGGCACTGCTCTGGTTTTACTATCACATGACACACGGCACATGACACATGACACACGACACACGGTACATGACACACGACACACGGCACATGACACACTGTAACGACCTGCTTGACGTAAATAACACATGTCCTTGTTTTTTCGCCATCTCTGGGACCAACCAAATATTTGTATAACCTCATAACGTCCAGCTATCATTGCAGCGATGTTGTTTTTTAAAAAGGAATTACGCAATGTTCATGGTCTCGATTATTGTTTTTTCAGTTTTAGCAAACTATGTTTTTTGCAAGGTACGCGACCCCTGAATATACGGATAAGCCGAAATAATTTTTATTACCCTCGTTACATCCGGATATTTTGTTCATCTAAGCATCACACTACAGGCACTGAAAACTTAAACGGTCCATGTTTATAAGAAAATCTGTAATTAATTAATTAATTAATCAACCTTTTAACTAATAATTGGAATAGATTGTGAAACAAAATTTCCCTGAAACTATCATAAAATAAGTCTAATCTAAAACACCTTGTTTGTTGAATGCAGTAGTAATACAATGGAAACTGACAATGTCTCATTTGGCCAGTGATAATGAAATTGATAAATGAAGTGCAGCAGAAGTCTTTACTTGCTGTAATTTCGAACCCTGGCAGCGTGGGTTGTATGTTCCCCGGGGAGCTGAGAATAAAAAATAAAAACGAGAGCAATAATGTTGTGCCTTGTGCCTATTTTTCGGTGTGGATTCATGGCATTGGTCGTACAGTACTAGCTATAGGTACTCGTGGTTCAAGCATGGAAGTACAAGCGAGGCCAAATATCTCATGAATCTTGCCAATAACATATGTGTCTGAGGGGACAGACATCTTTCTGATATTAATGATTGTTTGGGATTTATGCGTAAGGACAGTGTCAGGTTTATATCTTTGATGGGCATTTAGTGTCAAGTTTATTGGCCTGGATCGTCTAAACAAAACTGTAATTGCTATTTTCCATGCCGCCCACTACCCAATCTTCGTCGTACCATGGATGGACCTCTGAGTCAAAACCACAAGCATGGCGAGGACGGTAATGAAAGAATCCAGCCACGCCATCATGTCGCTAAAGACATTGTTTTTACCAACGCTGAGCACCCAATGACATATTTGTATTCATAGCTGTTCCAGATTATGTCTCCTCGCGTGTTACACTTAACGTTAATTATGGATTGTGTTGTTTCCGGATCATGTACTGGGTATAATTTTCATAACAAGGGTCCAGTTAATATGTTACTTTTAAAAGTTGTCTTGCTTATAATCTTGTTCTGGCTTACTTCTGTTTGGTATCTGTTCTGGGCTGGTCCCATTCATAATAGTCGAGATGTTGATCTATTGTACATGCATCACTGCAGTAGAGATCATGGATATGTCTTGCAGGCATAACTTGTCACCTCTCATGCCGCGGAACGCTGCCGGCGTGCAAATAAAGTTCAGTCCAGGCGTCAGCTGTGCCATATATGTGGCCATTGGTGTTAAATAGGCAATGTCAATAATGTTTTAATGTTTCTCCATCTTTTGTTAATCCTTACTGTTATCAATTTAGATGGATGCCTGGAATACAGCCGCCACACATGGTTATAACACATTTTGTCACAATTGTTTGTCACGCATGGTTGTCACAATTGTTTGTCACACACGGTTGTCAAAATTATTTGTCACACACGGTTGTCACAATTATTTCTCACACATGGTTTTTACAATTGTTTGACACATATGGTTGTCACAATTGTTTGCCACACGTGTTTTTTACAATTGTTTGTCAAATATGGTTGTGACAATTGCTAGCCACACATGGTTTTTACAATTGTTTGTGACACAAAGTTGTCACAATTGTTTGCCACACATGGTTGTCAAACATAGTTGTCACACAAATATAAACAAGTAAATTTACGTAATTGTTTGTCACACATGGTTGTCCCACTTGTTTGTCACACATGGTTGTCACAATTGTTTGTCATGGTTGTCACAATGGTTTGTCACAATTGTTTGTCACACATGGTTGTCACAAATGTTTGTCACACATGGTTTTTACAATTGTTTGCCACACATGTTTTTTACAATTGTTTGCAAAACATGGTTTTTAGAATTGTTTGTCACACATGACTGTCACAATTGCTTGTCACACATGGTTTTTCCAATTGTTTGGCACACATGGTTGTCACAATTGTTTGTCTCACATGGCAGTCACAATTGTTTGGCACACAAGGTTTTTACAATATTTGGCTCACATAGTTGTCACAATTGTTTGTCACACATGGTTTTTACACGTGGTTGTCGCAATCGTTTGCCACACACGGTTCTTGCAAATGTTTGTCACAATTGTTTGCCACTCATGGTTGTCCCGCATGGTTGTCAAACATAGTTGTCACACAAATATAAACAAGTAAATCTACGCAATATTAAAAGCGTAAAGATCTCTTTCAATATACGTAAGAAATCGATTCCAAAAAGGAGAATCGATTGTACAATTACGACTCCGTCATGAGCATGCGTTTATGAATCACTATCACAGAGTAATGACACCGGGTGTCACCCAACCAATGAAACCCATCACAAACACATGAGAAGGCAAGTCAATTGTCCACCTAAAACTGGGGGAAGTTATATCAAAATAGGGAATTGCATCGGACATCATTTGTAGTCATTGGTGCGTCAAAGTTGGAAGGTCCTTCTCATACCAGCAGAAGAACTTTTGAAAACTTTTGAGGACCTTGAACGTTGTAACATTGATCAAATAAACTTTTGCAGTATTTGAAATCTTCGTTAAAAGAGCATGCTTGATTGCACTTATAAACGCTGGGGGTCATAGACATCTCTCACCATTAAGGGAAAGGGGACTACTGAAAGTTTAAAGCCTTCATTTTGTCTTACAGCCTGGTGGAGGTATTTTCTGCAATTTATATTGTAAAGCATTTATTCCTGCACAGGAGAAGTTCAATACAGAGGAGTGTGTATGGTTTTAAGCCGCTTTTAGCAATATTCCAGCAACATCACGGCGGGGACACCAGAAATGGGCTTCACACATTGTACCCATGTGGGGAATCGAACCCGGGTCTTGGGCGTGACGAGCCGAGGCTGAAGCCATTAGACTATCCCACCTCCCTCGAAGAAGTTGAATAGAATGAGGTGTAAAGAATAATTTATCTTCCACATGTGGTTATATTTCATCAAATGCATGGAGTAAACGTTTCCAACTGTATTTATTAATCCAGAGTTTATCATTTTCTTGTTTCTTTATTTCAGGTAAATTTGTCAACTACACCATGGGCGTCTGTCTTGCCGTCAGTGTGATGACCTTGGCTGCTACTGGCCTTGATCGCTACTATGCTATTATACATCCTGTGAGGTCAAGGACGTTTAGGTTGGTATATGAATATACAACTTTTATCAGTTATCACAGAAAGATGATAAATCATGAAACGTTGGATTTTGAATGTGGGAAAACGGACGGATGGGTGTGGTTGGGCCCTTATCTTTGAGTACCACGCACGCTTTCAAACTGAAATAAAACAAAATGTTTTAGAGCTTTTCTCACACATAAAGGAGATACGATATAATTGTATTTCACTATTATCACCTCGGAAGGTGTTAAACCAAAAGCATATGCTCACAATTGCGATTGGAATAAGCAAAAAGAATTTAAATAAACCGTTTTCGTGTCTATGAGGTGAGGTTAGGTTAAATGGGGTTTAAATTCGTACTTAAGAATATTTCGCTCATATGACGACATGCATGCGTGTGTATGTGTATGTGCGGCTGCTTGTACTAGTCCAGACTTAAGCTGGTTTTATAGTGCTAGCCCACTGAGATACCATGCCGCAGCGAAGCATGACTACCCCACTCAGACACATTATACTGACTCCGAGCCGACCAAACCTTGTTGTACTCATTAATGCCGAGCGCCAGGCAGGGACCAACGAGTACCATATTTTAAGGTCTTTTGGTATGACGCGGCCGGGATCGAACCCGCGACCTTCCGCTGTTCGGGCGGACGCTCTAACCACTACACCACGGAGGTGGTTCGTGTCTATGAAAGCGAAACACAGTTCTGTCCTTGTTCGTGTTTCCCATATCGTATGTGCAGGCAAGCCATCAATAACCCACATCAGGAGATTGAATTCATGGTTTGGGCAGAATCCTGTTTGGGGACTAGGGATGGTTGGGTAGCCTGTTAAAGTGTTCGTTCGTCACGCCGAAGATCAGGGTTCGATTCCCCACATGGGTACAATGTGTGAAGCCTATTTCTGGTGTCCGCGCCGTGATATATCTGGAAAAGTGCTAAAAACGGCGCAAAACTAAACTCACTCACTCACTTAGGGATTATGGTACACATAAAAAGCGAAACCTATAAGAGATAGTGGGAATGTTGATTTTGTTTATTCAAGAAACGTTCAATACAAATGTAATATAGAACGGCGTAAGCCAATATTAGTGAACTGGTGTATGGTGCCAGTGCGTCCGTTAAACATTAACATATTACAGGATGTTTTTTAGACTGCGCGAAAGTGTCATAGAAAGGACATTAACAGCTAATGCACGTGCAAGTTGAGATTTCCATGTACAGTGACACTGGTTCTAAACAATCAAACGTCAAACAATAGCTTGTCAAGAGGGAATGTGTGAAAAGTGTGAGTGAGTGAGTATGGTTTTACGCCGCTTTTAGCAATATTCCAGCCATATCGCGACAGGGGGACACCAGAAATGGGCTTCACACATTGTACCTATGGAATCGAACCCGGGTCTTTGGCGTGACGAGCCAACGCTTTAGACACTATGCTACCCCACCGCCCCTGTGAAAGATGTGACTATCACAAGTTTTATCGTTGGATCAAATTAGATGACTTATGCACATTTAATTTAACACATGAACTTTGTAAGCTAGCCCATGCGTCTCTTTTTTGAAGAGTGTATTTATACATATTTCAGTTGTAAGTGGTACATTTGGCATGAGCAGAGTGTTTGAGGTCAAATGCGTAATGAAATGAACGTGTACTTCAACAACAAGACAGTCCTTCAACAACAAGAATGACAATCAACAGTTCAAGACGCCTCACCGAGTTCTCTACTGACGTTTGAATGTATTACATGTGGTAATTAAATCCGTAACCCCTGTCAGCACGAACGCCATCGATATAATGTCCTTATGACAAACTCTGCCTGGTTGATGATACTCGGTCCTCGTGTAGTGCAGGGAGTTGGAATTGATAGCCTCCACTGTCACTGTGTTCTGTTGTCCTAATTCATTACTTTCAGATATCCATTCATACAATGTTCACCGATATTTTGCTATTACGTCACGTCGAATCTGTATCGGCAGAGGGGTGATGGGGTAGCCTAGTGGTTAAAGCGTTGGCTCGTCACGCCGAAGACCCGGGTTCGATTCCCCACATGGGTACAATGTGTGAAGCCCATTTCTGGTGTCCCCCGCCGTGATATTGCTGGAATATTGCTAAAAGCGGCTTAAAACTAAACTCAGTCAGTCAGTATCGGCAGAGATCGAGGTTGTTATCTGGCGTTACCATCTGTTATCAGTGTAGGAAAGATAGCCCGTCCCAACGTCCGAGACGGGTGAATTTTGTGGAGGACGGGTTAAAAAAATATCTAGTCCGTCCTCATGTCGGGTCAATTTTAGCAGACTAATGACATATATATAATGATTATAACCTTTTTGAATATTTACTGCCGAAGGTGTTTTATTTATATGTGGAGGACAGGCTAGATTTTGGCAGGACTGGTAAAAAATTTGACCTGCCAGTCCTGTGGACAGGCTAGATTTTCTACATCTTTCCTACACTGCTGTTATGTAAACAAATCAAATGAAACGTTTTTCTATTGATATTGAGCCGATGTATGAATTTCCCCAAATAACCTTCTTTACAATTTATATATCGAATATTGACATATGCAGAAGGCATGTATACCCAGAGCATGATTGAGTGTGGTTTTACGCCGCACTGAGCAATTGTCCAGCAAATATACGACTAGTGACCCCTGTAACTGTCTCACACTATGTACCCATATGGGAATCGAATACGGATTATGGGGTTGGCGAGCGAACACCTTTATCACTAGACTAGCCCGCCTCCTTGGAACGTACCTAAGTCCATCGTAATGTTATCCCTCTAAGACTGGCCTTTCTCTTTCTGTTTCAGAACCTCAAAGCGAGCAATGGCTATAATGCTTGGAATCTGGGTTGCATCAGTTCTCATCATGGTACCAAGAGCATTCTTATACGGTCTCAGTGAACTGTGGCACTTACACGACATGAGGATGTTCTGCAACCGCCACCAGGGGGCGCACGACCGGATCTGGATCATACGGAGGAAGGTCGACTCCATCTTGATGTTCCTGACCATGTTTCTGCTTCCGCAACTGATTCTGAGCTTCTGTCACTGCAGGATCGTTCGGAAACTCTGGACAAGCGTCAGACCAGGGTCAAGGCCGAACGACATTTCCCTGACTGCCCTTAGGGCAAGGAGGAAGATAGCTAAAATAATATTTGCAATTACTGTAGCTTTTGGTGTTGGTTGGCTGCCAATCCATATTGTAAGACTTCACGAAGATTTCATCGGCTCGGGAAACAAAATAATTTTCAAAGACAGGGAAGTATTTGCCCTTTGTTTTTCTTATGGAGCAAATGCGATTAATCCAATAATATATTGCCTGTTAAGTGGAAACTTTAGGTACCACTTTAAAATGGCAATAATGTGCAAGAGGCACCCCAGTAGAAGGGTGAGGAGATTTCTTTCAACTTCACAGCGTCACATGCAGGAGGTAAGGAACTGTGACGTCAATCCTTCAGGACGTTCAAACAGGCACAGGGACCAAGGTATGCCATGTTGTCGAAATGACCACCTGTCCCCAATCGTTCACAGTCACAGAAGAAGTCGAACCCAGACCATGGCCCGTATTGGACTCGATGGATGTTATGTTCAGCAACCACTGTTTGGTGTGTCCTTCCAGCGAATGGATTTACCATCTGTAGTTTAAAGATTATCAAATACAGCTGTGTTGTGTAGATGGATATCAACCTCTGGAGGATGGTGTTTTATAGATAGCAGTTTGACAGTGGGATGGGGATGTGTCTACTGTGGAATATTGCGAATGCAATGTGCATTATATAAGAAGTTTATAGTTCTCAAGAACAAGCTAATGTATCGTCCGAGCGGTAAGACCACTTAAAATATGACTTGGAAGGTTGGAAGGATTTTATTTATTTTGTCACTCCTTTGCCTTAAATTTATAAAGGTAAACTTGATTCTACTGTACCACGTGACATTCTCTAGTCACGAACCATGCTTTTTACGAACTTAAAGGGACGAGTTTAATAATGTTCCCTGCTGTTTACCATAAGCATGTTGTGAGCTAAAGGTTGGAATGCATTGAGTGAGTGAGTGGGTTTAGTTTTGCCACACTCAGCAATATTCCAGCAATATGGCGACGGTCTGTAAATAATCGAGTCTGGACCAGACAATCCAATGATCAACAGCATGAGCATGGGATCTACGCAGCTGGGATACGATGACATGTGTCAACCAAGTCAGCGAGCCTGACCACCCGATCCCGTTAGTCGCCTCTTACGACAAGCATGGGTTACTGAAGAGCAATTCTAATGCATTGAGAGATGACACGCTAAACACAATCTTATAAGTATACATGGTATATAGGTGCGAGGATAGGTACGAGGCGGGCATGACGAAGGACTGAAACATACACTTCGAAGTAAATATCCACACACATGAATATCCAGTATCCGATACAGTAAACAGCCTTCAAACTGCCTATATTTGATGAGCCTATATCTAGTAATCATAGCCGACCTGGCTTACTTTCGAAACTAATGGCAACGAATAACCTCAGGTTGAAAAGGAACAGTCCGATTCTACCTGTGTAAAAATCGATTCAAATTTATATTACTGAAAGAGTTGAGGGCTGACTTATCCTATCATGCCAGTCTCGTTTATTATCTGCAATATGAATGAATCGGGAGGCCCTTAAACTATTTAGATTAGAAATACACAAACTCAATCGAGCCTTGCGAAAGCACAAGAAGAGCAAATAGAGGATGGGTTTGGCACAATATATGACTTAGCTTCAGCGGTATCCCACAGTGCGGACAGTTGCTCATGCGGTTAATCATAGGTCGGACTCGACCATTTACATGTCTGTCAGGAAGACAGCTTACAGCGACCTTCACCCCATCAGCGGATGTGAGAGACATCGTTTTGTCGTGATATACATTCCGAATGCCCGCGTGTGGACAAACATACGACAATGAGTGGGATAATTCTTTGTGTTTGTGACAGTGGTCTGGGAACAGCAATTTTGTGATGTTCAATTTGTGTTATTATGTTGTGCCGAACGTTAAATATTGTTTTCTGTCGAACGGTAATAAAACATTCTTACCCATTGTATAGCAAGGCGCTGTTGATTAACTAAGTGTTCATGAGGCTACATGAGACACTGCTGCTACATGTGATACTGTTGCTAGGCTACATAAGACACTACTGCTACATGTGTCACTGTTGCTAGGCTACATAAGACACTACTGCTACATGTGTTACTGTTGCTAGGCTACATGAGACACTACTGCTACATGTGTCACTGTTGCTAGGCTACATGAAACACTACTGCTACATGTTTCACTGTAGCTAGGCTACATGAGACACTACTTCTGCATGTGTTACTGTTGCTAGGCTACATGAGACACTACTGCTACATGCGTTGCTGTTGCTAGGCTACATGACACACTGCTGCTAAATGTTCCACTGTTCCTAGGCTACATCAGACACTGCTGCTACATATGTTACTTTTGCAAGGCTACATGAGACACTACTGCTACATGTGTCACTGTTGCTAGGCTACATGAGACACTACTGCTACATGTGTTACTGTTGCTAGGCTACATGAGACACTACTTCTGCATGTGTTACTGTTGCTAGGCTACATGAGACACTGCTGCTACAGGTGTTGGTGTTGCTAGGCTACATGTGTTTACTGTTGCTAGGCTACATGAGACACTACTTCTGCATGTGTTACTGTTGCTAGGCTACATGAAGCACTGCTGCTACATGTGTTACTGTTGCTATGCTACATGAGACACTGTTGCTACATATGTTTTTGTTGCTAGGCTACATGAGACACTGCTGCTACATGTGTTACTGTTGCTGGGCTACATGAGGCACTGCTGCTACATGTGTTAGTGTTGCTAGGCTACATGAGACACTGCTGCTACATGTTACTGTTGCTAGGCTACATCAGACACTACTGCTACATGTTACTGTTGCTATGCTACATGAGACACTGCTGCTACATGTTACTGTTGCTAGGCTACATGAGACACTGCTGCTACATGTGTTAGTGTTGCTAGGCCACATGAGACACTACTTCATGCATGTGTTACTGTTGCTAGGCTACATGAGACCCTGCTGCTACATGTGTCACTGTTGCTAGGCTACATGAGACACTACTGCTACATGTGTCACTGTTGCTAGGCTACATGAGACACTGCTGCTATAGTTACTGTTGCTAGGCTACATGAGACACTGCTGCTCCATGTGTTAGTGTTGCTAGGCTACATGAGACACTGCTGCTACATGCGTTACTGTTGCTAGGCTACATGAGACACTGCTGCTACATGTGTCAGTGTTGCTAGGCTACATGAGACACTACTTCTGCACGTGTCACTATTGCTAAGCTATATGAGACACTACAGCTACATGTGTTACTGTTGCTAGGCTGCATGAGACACTACTGCTACATATGTCAGTGTTGCTAATCTACATGAGACACTGCTGCTACATGTGTTACTGTTGCTAGGCTACATCAGACACTGCTACTACATGTGTTGGTGTGCTAGGCTACAAGAGACACTGTTACATGTGTTGGTGTTGCTAGGCAACATGAGACACTGTTACATGTGTTAGTGCTGCTAGGCTACAAGAAACACTTCTTCTACGTGTGTTACTGTTGCTAGGATACATGAGACACTGTTTTAAATATTGAAATAATATTTTCATTTATAAAACTCGTCAAAGATGTAGTGTCAAACTCGCTTTCGCTCGTATGATACCAAATCATTAACTCGTTTAATAAAAGATGGTATTACACGGAAGGTCGTTAAGTATCATCTACTTACAATACAAGACCAAATGGAGTCCTAAACAATCCTATTTTTCAGGCCAAGAGCTAAGGAACTCTTCACTTGCTAAATCATTCTAGACTTGAGTGGGGCGCCAATTACATTTATTCCCAAGGGTCTGGGAGATTCCAAAGGGTCTCCTCAAGGGGTTTGTTCACTTGACATGTGTCTTTTAGAATGTCATCCCACAGTACATACAAGCCACTCCAACCCATCGCACTCACTGACTCTGGCTCCCTAGTCCACTCACATTCATACCACACACTGGCAACAAGGGGACTTATTGAGAACTGCCAGCGTTAAGCACTCTCCGTCTGATTTACTGTCCTACATCCCAACTGAAGCAGTATCCTGTAATACACTGATTCTTTCCACCTGCGGAAAGAGAAGTACAATTCAAGTGTCGAAGTGCTTTCTGTTGTGTACAGCGGTGAAGTCAAACAGACCGACATTGATGGAAACCCAGGTCAACGCGCTCTTGCTTGGGACAGGATATAACTGTTGTTGATATACCAGGAGTAGGTAAAACGCTTTACTATTAACTGTTACTGTTAACGTAAGCTGACTCAAGACTTTACAGGACGAAATTTCATCAAAGCACGTAGGTTTCTGTTCCATGTACTTGTGAATGAGTACAATTTTGCGCAGCTTTTAACGGTATTTAAGAAACTTCAATGAGCTTCACTGGGAAGGTTCATCGCGGAAACGAACCCGAACATTCTACGCACAAACACTTCACCAACATGGCTAGCCTGCAGCTCCTGCCAGAGATACAATCATTCGTGGCGGAAATTATCGGGGAAATGGTTTCTATAAGCGTCTTTAAAATAATATTTCCTTCACACACACCGCTCGTGTGGTATCGACTGACGTTGGATAGCGCGGATTTCGGGTGACCACTCTTGTTGACAATCAAACAAACAAACAAACAAACAAACAAACGAACAAACAAGCAAAACGCATCTTTCGGAGGAACAAGTCGGCATGGATCCGAATCCGAACAAACAAACAAAACGTATCTTTTGGAAGAACACGTCGGCATGGATCCGAACAAACAAACAAAACGTATCTTTCGGAGGAACACGCCGGCATGGATCCGAATCCGAACAAACAAACAAAACGCATCTTTTGGAAGAACGCGTCGGCATGGATCCGAATCCGAACAAACAAACAAAACGTATCTTTCGGAGGAACACGCCGGCATGGATCCGAACCCGTGGATCCGGTAACACCAAACTCTGAACATCCAACTTGTCACTCCGATTCCTTTGGAAATTGTAGATATCTTTCATAGGGACACATCCTCAACTAACAATTAAATGTTAGTGTGAAGAAAACTGTCTTGAGTCCCCTGCCGTGATATTGCTGAAATATTGCTGAAATATTGCTAAAGGTGGCGTAAACTAAACTCACTCACTCCACGCCGCAGGGACATGCTGTGAGCGCTTACAACATGATGGATTTTATTACCCCGGATGATCCAACTTAGCAGTGACAAAGTTAAAACGCGATTAATTCAAACAGTAGATATAAAGCGAAATAATGAATACTTTTAAATATTTGCAGAAAGAACTTTTACATCAAATGTCCTGTACACATAGACTTACAAAAAGTGACGCCGCTTATAAATATTCCAGAACCCACGGGCCTTCTCCATTCCATAGACTACCCCACCGAAATCTCAAAACCCTTTCCATTCAAAGCAGCCAGTCAGAGTCGATTGTACAGTTGTGACTATATCATGAGCAGATATATGTGTTACAGCTGTATGATGTTGTTTGTAAACAATTCGGGTCTGGACCAGACAATCCAGTGATTGTCACCATGCGATACGATGACAGAACATGTGTTTATGAATCACTAAGATATAGTGATGATACCAGGTGTTCGATGCCACTTTCAGATGTAATAAGATGGGATACAGAGAAAATAACACTGACTACGGATGTCATGCATGATAGGGAAAAAAATAATATAAGGTGTCTACTTTAGATAAAATGAGTGAGTTAGGTTTTACTCCGCTTTGAGCAATAGCCCAGCAAGAAAAAACATGTTGTGGAATCGAACACTGCTGCTACATGTGTTACTGTTGCTAGGCTACATAAGACACTACTGCTACATGTGTTACTGTTGCTAAGCTACATAAGACACTACTGCTACATGTGTTACTGTTGCTAGGCTACATAAGACACTACTGCTACATGTGTTACTGTTGCTAGGCTACATAAGACACTACTGCTACATGTGTACTGTTGCTAGGCTACATAAGACACTACTGCTACATGTGTCACTGTTGCTAGGCTACATAAGACACTACTGCTACATGTGTTGCTGTTGCTAGGCTACATAAGACACTACTGCTACATGTGTCACTGTTGCTAGGCTACATAAGACACTACTGCTACATGTGTTACTGTTGCTAGGCTACATAAGACACTACTGCTACATGTGTCACTGTTGCTAGGCTACATGAGACACTACTGCTACATGTGTTGCTGTTGCTAGGCTACATGAGAAACGAGCGAACGCTTTAACCACTAGGCTACCCACCGCCCCTTGGATGAAGAACAACTTGACGAAGGCAACCACGCGTACACCACATACTATCCTTTCATTTATCACTGATATCGGTGCAATATTTTCGCAAGCCCATTCATAAAAAAAAAAACCAAAAGAGAAAGAATTTGTCATTGACATTTAACAGACAATTCAACGTTATCATTTGGAAACAAAAGACTTGAGACAGTGGAACCTGGTCTGTTAGTTTTCTTATTTCAATATAACAGGATAAAATATCTGCAAAATTGTATTCATTTTTACTATGTTAATTATTGCACATTGTACTAACTCAGATGATTGTAAACAATATTATTATGCAAACTCATCAATATTCAAATTCGTTCAGTCAGTTAAAACTGATAACAATGTTTGCGAATTAAGTTCAGCAAAATATGACCAAACACTGTTAAAGTAAGAAGCAATATTTTGTCGAAATATTATTTTCTGTGGTCGAGGAAGCTTTTAGGTTTCACTTCACCAAATCAGAATCCGTATTTCAACAAGAACCTTTCGTCCCGAACCGTCAGTGCAGATTGAATCATCGGACAGCTGTGATTGGGTGAAATGTACATCCATCCAGTAATTAAAACTGACCATATTTTTCAATATCTAATGCTGTCGTTTTTTACTGATGACTGAGTGTGACCACACCTATTTTCAAGTTGACATTTTGTGCGGAACTGAGGTTGGTCTGTTTAGCTTCCTGTATTCGGAAAAGGAACAGCCTGAGATCTCCATCTTTGATTTTTTTATTGTTTCTTTAAGGCCAGACTATGCACACATGTACATGTAACAGCTGTTGATAACTTAGTCAATTTAGAAAAAAATAATATAACGTTACTATAGAAGTCAATGGGAAAATATTTGGTTTTGTGTATCCTTGAACTATGGAAAAAATAGCGTATTGACTCATATGGTCATGTAACTTGCGGATGTGTCTTTAAGCACGTTGCCAGAGACCATTATGAGTGAATATGTCAATGTGTTTGCAGTCGTTTGCCAAATCTGCCTTATTACCAAGAGCCATGCATAACACAGACTTTTATCATCTCATTGTCATAATGGGATGTTTCCCTAACAACTGATCACACTTCAAATGGTAAATACCTCGTCGTTAAACGAATCATTCGACTAAACTAACGAGCAGCCTTTAACAATGATGCCATTCTGATAAGTGGATCACTCTAATGTCCTATAAAGCTAATTGTTCACGGTATGTAAAATGGGTTTTCATTAACCTGTGAACGTATGTAAACACTAGTTCTTTCAACTTGAAAAGAGGTGGTTATACTTAAAACCAAACTCTCGTTCTGGAAAAGGAAGCTATATTTTCGTTATCCCATAATGTTTAACTGTTTAATGTGAAGTTTAAAAGATTACCTGAACGATGAACAAATGAAAACATATGTTTTAAAGTTTGGAGAAGAATTAACAAGCAGTATTTACCTAATCAACCTATTTTGTTATCTAAAGATTTTTATAAAATATCGTTATTCCCTTTTCGAGGTGATATATTTGTTTTTCGGACAGTTTCTCGTCGAACAAGAGCCTGGACACATCGCAAAAAACACGACTACAGATCTATAAAACCGACCGTTTGGTTACATATGTCATATATATATCATACATGTTATAAACATATATCTGAGAACGTTCAAAATGTATGTGAAACTTGTTGACCATATTCCGCGTTCAGTAGGCAATATGTCAACATTCTTAGTTAGTCGTGTACATACGTAATAGTTTTATCAAAATTCTGGCTTTATACAAACTAGGTAATGTAACAGTTTATCCAAGGTAGCGACCACACGCTTACAGTAGGAAGGGTGATAACTCTTTAACTGTTAACGATCAAAGTCACCAGCTCATGAAAAAAACACATCAGGCTCTTAAAGAAACTGTGCTTAACAAAACCAAAAACATTTTTACAATGAACACAATACTTGGCGATAATTTAATGTATGGTTGCATACAAAGAGCTGTCTTCCTACTTCCTAGGAAAGTATGACATAATTTAACTGAACATAAATATAAAAGTTTGTTAAGTGTTGGACGCATGTAGGCCTTTTGAGACCCACGGTCGCCCTAACACCTTACCGACCTACCTACGATCACAGTGAAGGCCTCTGTTCACCGCTAAAGTGGCCCGATGGAGTTATATACCCCAGGGGGGATGGGGCAGCCTAGCTGTTCACTCATCACGCCGAAGACCAGGGTTTGATTCCCAAACTGAGCACAGTGTGTGAAGTCCATTTCTGTAATCTACCGAAGTGGTATTGTGAAATTTGGTAATTTGGTCACTCACTCACTCACTCACGCAGGCACGCACGCACGCACGCACGCACTCAACCAACCACCGACTCATTCACTCACTGGGTGCGGAGTTGAACAATAACAGACAAACAACCAATACGATACCGCCGTCAGGTAAACCACATTCAACCCACACAGTTTTTATTTCGTTGAATATCTCAAAACATATTCATCAAACA